CAAAAATTACTGAAAGGTTATCTAAGAACTCAATTTAGAAGTGTCAGAGTAGGATAAAACCAATTCAGCTGAGTCGCAATGGATCCTGAAAATAAACCTTTCTCTCAAAATCACCTGTATTAATAGGTAGGAATGTTTCAAAGGCTCCGTTTCATTTACTTCAGTGAGATTACAGAATTGTGGTCTTGGGATCCTGGATAAAGTATCTTGGATGCATGAAAATTATTCTAAATAGAAGCCCCTTTCAAACACTCCCTCTTAATATGTGGGCAAGACTGATTTGATTCTTATGAATCTGACTAATGTTGACACAGATATGGTTGAAGTCCAAGATTGCATATTGAAGTATGTAAGGTTTGGCATTAAGAATGATTCTATACTTTCAGCCATGGAATCCTACTGGTTGATTTTGGGCTAGATACACTCTCTTCTACTACATAGGATTGTTATGTGGGGAAAAATAAGTTTTATACTATGCTTACATACAAGCACATGCCAAATAAACATACTAATGCTTATGGCAATAATTTCCTTAACATCAAGAGGAGAAACTAGGCCATACTTTGCATAATATGAGACCCACTTATTTATATCTATTCTCCTAGCCATATATAGTAGATACAAGTAGAAAGAAGAGACCTTTAGAATTAGGCTAATGTTTCTTAACCCTGGCAACTTGATGTGGTATGAATTTTAACTTCCAGACATTTGCTAGTTGGGAAATTCTGGGAGTCGATGTTCTCAAATCTTCAAGTTGCCATAGTTGAGAAAAACTGAATTAGGCTATCTAGAGTAATTCTCGATCTTACTAGCTGGAAGTTCCTGACAGGTTTTGAGAACAGCAGTTCTCCTATTGTTTGACCCCAGAACTACCTTCCTTTCAAACTCAGTTATATTAATTTGATGGGGAACATCATTTTGAGTATGTTTTATATTACATAGTTCAATTTAAATATTGACATAAAATAAAAAGTGATTGCTTTTCTGTTTGACAATTTAGAAATAACATTTTGACATCTCTGCCAGATGAAATGGAGGCATTGGCAAAACTACGGACAATAAATCTTGCCTTTAACAGGTAAATGCTTTCTTCATCATGTGATATTGTGGTGCTACCAGGGACGTGCAGTCAGGGGAGGCAGGGCCTCACCACTGTCATCATGAAAAGAAAAAAAATGTAATAGGAAAAAGGCTGAGGTAGTTGCTGCCAGAGTCACAGACGTCTCTATGTCGGACACAGTGGCGGGACTTCGCCGGGGCTTTCGGAAAGCCGCGCCGGGCTTTGGCAGGGCTTTGCTAAAGCCCCGCCGCTGTGTCTGACATAGGGTGGCTTTTGCCCGCTTGCCTCACCAGCCATAAACCTCACCGCATGTCACTGGGTGCTACTATTTATATTTTGGAAAGCATTGTGCATTTATGTCACCTAACAAGCCTGATGTACAAAGAGAACCAATGCAGGAAACTTTTTGGGGTATTTCATATTTGAAAAAGCATCTTCTGACAATGGAAATGCCTGTCCATAGATGTCAAAACGTTAGGTTCCCTTCTTCACTATTCTGCAATAATTTAAGAATGATTCACGTAGAAATTGATTGACTTGGGACATTATAGTTAGCCGGCAATTTATTTGTCATTCAAAGATCAATTATACATATATTTTTTTTGTTAAAGTGACATCTTCTCCCATAAGCTCTGTAAAAATTATCCTGTGGCAAGATGGGCAACCAATAAATTTAATAAATAAAATAAAAATAATAAAATAGGATGGGTAGAATCCAAACAGTGCTAATTGGTTTTTCAGGATACAAATTTATTTTTTAAAATACTTTATCACCTGAAATCACTACCATTAAAAATAATTCTTTGTATTTTATTCCTTATAATTAAGCCTTTTATAAATTGCATGTGTTTAGAGTTTACTATATAGCAATGTCATCATTCATCATGTTTTTCAACAATGTGTTGAAAGACTAGTTTGTCACGTTTAGTCTCTAGTGTGATCACAAGACTTGTAACAGTATATTGTTGGTTCTGTTTCCACATATTTTTTCCCTTCAGTGTAATCAAATTATTTCAACCTACATATTTATTAATGAATTGTGTATTAATTTTTATAGATTTAAAATATTTCCAAAGGTCCTCTATCGCATCCTTACTCTTGAAGCCATTCTTCTTGGAAATAATCAGATTGGATCCCTAGATCCTCAACAGTTACAGAAGATGGAAAAACTCAGTACTCTAGATCTTCAAAATAATGATCTCCTACAGATTCCACCAGAACTTGGGAATTGTGACAATCTCAGGTAACCATATGAGTCTTGAGGGTTTCTAAATAGCATATTTATTTTACCAAAATACTGTGTGGAAGCATTGCAAACATTTATTGGGTTTTTGTAGGGGTTTTTACTGCTATATTGATGTCTATTGAACTGATTTGCTTTTACTTTTTAAAATATGTATTATTTAGTTATTTGTGGATATGGAGCATCAGAAAATATTCTGTTCCTTAGGATAGTTTGCATCATTTTCAGTGAGGAGCACTTTTCAATGTGCTCCTATTTTTACTTACTTATTTGTTCAAATAAGTTCAATTGTTCAGATGTCAATAAACAATAAAAATGACATCATAAAAACAAAAATCCCTTTTAAAATACATTGAAACAATGAAAAACTGTTAAAAAGTGAAAAGAAAACATAATCTGCAAGAGAGTGAAAACAATCTCACTAATAGCATAGCCATTTTGCCAGCTCCATGTCACCCCTATCCAGTCCTCAGGCAACATGGTCTTCTGCTGGACCTAATTAGGCAAGTAGATATAATTGAATGGGGGGTGTCCCTCAAATAAATTGGCCCCATGCCATATAGGGCTATAGAGGACATTATGAGCAACTTGAACTGAACCTGGAAGCAGGCTGCTAACCAATGCAGCTCACAGAACAGAAGTGTAATGAGCACTGATCTAAGTGTGCATATAACTACCCTTGCCACATCTTGTAGTGGCTGAAGCTTATGGATTGTCTTCAAGAGTAGCCCCATATAGAGTGCGTTAGAACAATCCATGTGAAATTGACCATGATATGAGTGACTGAGAGTACAGCATTCTGACCCAGCAGATTTATGCCCTATCAAGCTAAGTAAATTCTTGAACATCATATATACCGAGTTCAATTTAATAAAAACCTCAGAATCAATTTGTCGGAAAGGCCATGTCTAAATAAATCGAATTCTTCTTTCTTCTGTGTGGAGTGAAGAAGACAGTGCACATTCAGTCGTCTGACGTTTCTAAGTGATGGCTAGGCAATTAATTACCTAAAGTAGAGCAGTTCAGCTTTAAATTAAATTAACTGATAATTATTATTCAGAATACTAATAAGGCCCAAAGAAAGTTTAATGTATAGGCTTTTTATGTGTAGATCTTGTTTCAAGAATTTAGAATGGATGAGGACTTCTTTTATGTAGTATATTTTTCTTGCACGTTGCATCTGGAACCACAAGAGAAGCTTGTAAGAAAAACCAATCAATTAAAATATGAAGCTGGTTTCAAGTCTGCCTTTGAGATAGAGAGTAGACTTTGAGATAGAAAGTGGACTTTAAATAGAGATGCTGAGCGAACATGATTTTAAGGGTAAGCCTGTAGAGCAGTGGTTCTCAAACTGTGGGTTGTTACCCCTTTGGGCCCTTTCACAGGGGTCGCCTAAGACCATTGGAAAACACATATTTTCAAAAAAATACAGAAAGCATAAAATAATTTTATGGTTGGGTGTCACCACAACATGAAGAACTGTATTAAAGGGTCATGGCATTAGGAAGGTTGAGACCCACTGCTGTAGAGGATAAAAAGATATTTTAATAAGTGGCAAAATTATTACTGACAGGTAAATAGATTATATATACAATATTGCTATTGGATGTTTGTTTAATCTAGCAAAATCCTTATGCGAATGGAAGCATTTTGAAGATGTTGATTCAGCTTTCTGCAGTTTGAATGAGAAGAGTCTCCATGGATTTCCTCACTCCCTCTGAATGTTTCTGTATTCTTATAGACTCTGCAACTGAATGAACAGGAGTTCTAATTGGTTTCTGTCTTTCTCTTAGAGTACTTTTATTGGAAGGTAACCCTTTCCGAACTCCCCGTGCAGCTATTCTGGCTAAGGGAACAGCTGCTGTGCTTGAATATCTGAGAAGCAGGATTCCTACTGTTGCTGCTGATGTGAACTAAAAAGTGTGCAACATCTTACTTTCTGAAGAACGAAGATCATGGCCTTTGTTGTTGAGAAACATAACTTGAAAATGCATATGCTAGAAAGTTGCTTCTAGGGTTCTCAAAGGATTTTAGTCTACCTGCAGGCACCTCAGGCTGTTCTTGGGATCATACTTGTATGGCATATATTTGGGTGAGTGATATATGACTCTACCCAGCAAAAGCAAATGGTTGCTTATGGTCTTCAACATATATATCTGATATGGCCATGTTCTAATTTTATATTTGGTACTTCTCAGCTGTTTAGAAATCTGTTTATATGTTTTAAGCAGCCCAAAAATGTGTTTGCTATTGCTATTATAGAAGAAGTATAAATTAAAGATTTGGTTCCCACTGGTATTTTGGAACATGAATATAATACATATTTTAAAATCAGATTCATTTTCAAAAATAGCATTTATACACGTTTACAAATGCAAAAAATACTTATGGAACAAACACACAACATAGAGTACAAATATTAGGAAGTAGTACCTTGATCCAGAGTATTCCCAACTTTGGGGCTGGTAGGCTGTCATGGTTTTTTCATTGGCATCATTGCAAATATTAGTTTTGTAGGAAGCAAACTGGTGAAGTTCTGTTCTGTTCTATTAATCCTTTCATTCCCATCCCCCCCTCCCAATATATCACGTTGAAAATACCCTCTTCAAATGTTTTCCTTGTATTCTGTCCTAGTATGTTTGTTTCCTAATTGAAAGGATAAATATACTTATTTCATTGCGGTATCCTACTTGGCTTGCTTTCAGATTATTTTATTCTGATATAAGTCCCTGTCTGAGTGAGGATTCCTGCCAAATTCCAGTCCTGAAATACTAAGTAAACATTCAGTTAATGGATGAGTTGTACTGTTGAATCACCAGACTGAGATTTTAATTCCTTGTATAATACTGTTCAGCAATATATGGAATTCATTGTTGGACACTGGCAAGTACTGAGGGTGATTGCAAAAGCTACAATCCTAATTGAATACAAGCTTAAGAGATAGCTGGTTCTAACTCAGGCATGGGCAGCAATGCCCCTTTAAAACCTGTGGATTTCAACTCCCAGAATTCCTGAGCCAGGCATGGCTGCTGGCTCAGGAATTCTGGGGAATGAAGTCCATAGGTCATAAAGGGGCCATAATTGGCCATCCAGGTCTAGTTTTCACCCATACAACCCCACACCTGCCTATCCCAATCAGCTGTTCCAGTAAAAGGCAATTACTCCAGAATCTTGATATTAGATGCTGACCATTGATACACTAAATGAAGTCCTATTTTAGAGAAAATGATTAGAGGTAAAGAGGGTTCAGTGGCATCTTCTAGATGTCTGCTTTTGTCTATATAATAAAATGTTTTGGGTTTTCTAAATATGGTGGAAGGAATTCTTACAGATCAAAGAGGTGCTTCTAGGCATTAATTATAATCTACAATAAGTATCCTTAAGTGCTCCTGTGTGAAGCAGTAGACACTGACCTTTTTAGCTGCTGGGAAGTTAAGGATAGCATAAAGCTACACTAGTGCATTAAACGTTTGTATCTGTGTGTATGTGTGAGAGAGGGTGAAGAAGGAGGGAGAGAGATTGACATTTCACATCTAGCCAGCTCTGCCAGATGCTTTCCACCCTATATGAACTTTAGCTATAGCAGGATCATCAACCTTCAAAATTCAAAAACCCCAGGAGAGCAAATGTTCACTCTATGGTGGCAGCTGCTGGGAAAGTAACCTTTTAAGCTGCTCTTTTATGTTCCAAACTATGCTTCAGATAAAGTTGGGGAGTCTTTAAAAAATTAAAACTAACTCTGAATCTGAGTACAAATAAAACCAAAGTTCCAACGAGAGACTTGCTGCTGATTATTGATGCTTGCTTTCTGTGAGGGATAAAAGATGAAAATGTTGCAATACATTGCTCTGAAGGCAGAATGTTTACAATAAGGTGACTTTATTTATACAATAGACTTTTTAATATATTATTCAAAACACTTTTTTTAAATACTGAAAAAATTTGAGTACATCAAAGCCGAAAATGGCTCTGCTATACGCTGCACAGCATTGTTTGAGTCCCTGTATTCTTTTTATGTACAGAAAGCATCTGCAAAATGCATTCTAGACACAATATACACCTTACTAGTTAGTGTCAATACGCAAAGTAAAATGGAAAAGATACTATCTGTATGTGCAAATTAAAGATAATTGATTTCACTGAATCAATTCATTTAAAATATAGCTTTAAAGTACTTTTTCACATAAAATGAAGCAGCTTTCAAGTTCAGTAAATCTGTATACTGCAAAACATTGAATTACATTCACAATCTATGTTCATAAAGTAGTAAATGATTCTTCATTCAGCCTTATTTACAATGATACTGTAATTAAACTGAAAAGTATTTTGTCATATAGCAATCTTTTTAACACATACAAAAATGACAGTTCTGTATATAATTTAAGCTCAAAATCACAATTGTTTCAAAATATTAATTACAATACAGCTATCTCTATAATTAAACATGTGTTTTATAAAATGGTAAAATTTGTAATAAAGTAAGTTGTTGGTATTTACTTGATTACAGTACTCACAAGTAGAAAAACGTAACTAATAAGTCTTTGTCTTGCCCAGTGTTAAGCCACTTAAGCTAGCAAAGAGGCAGGAAAGGCCCCGATTTATAAAAATTCAGCCTCTTGTGCTGAACTGGTGTGGCTTATTGATGTTCAGAATAAAATTTCACAAAGGGGCATGAACATTCTAGATGGAATGAAATGCTGTGGAAACTTAATGCACATTTAAAGTTCATAAAGATTCAAGACTAGTCTGAAATTCATTTTTAAAAAAAGAATCCACTATCGAGAATTTGTGTGCTGAGACAAACATTCTTAGCCTCTGGGTGTCGCTGTTGGATTTCTCAAACAGGATTATCATTGTAGTAAGTACATAAAGTGAGTTTTTAAACTACAAGCAATGCATTTTAAAAAAAAATTCTAACCTTTGATTTAAAAAATGTTTAATACTCGTCTCCTGTTTGGAATGTAGGGTAACAAAGGCATACATGAACAAAAGGAAAAATATAATAATTTCGAATGGATCTTAGGTATTTTACTAAAAATAATGTTTTATAGCTCTTAAGTACTCTTCAATTCCACCTTTTACTTTAGGAACGTGAAAGTTACAATCATGGAAAACTTCAGTCGGTCAATGGAAATGGTTGCTCTTGGTGTGATTGAATCTTACCAATAGCTCTTCTCATTTACTTGGGCATTTTGAAAAAAAGGCATGCATTGTTGCCAGAAACAGAACTCAAAACACTCACAAGCTAGCTCAGTACAATGCTTATATTTTTACTGAAAAAAGGAGGCACAGCTTGCTGTGACAAAGTCTTTCATGCGCTCCTCAGTTAAGGATATATTTTCTCCAAAATGTCATAGGCATAAGATTTACAATGGGGCTTTTTTTTTTTGCAGAAGTTTCATTACGCAAGTAATATCATCAGTGCTATGTGTTACCAAGCACTGATAATGAAATGTCTGCAAGAAAATAACAAAGCCCAGGAATACCAAGGACCCCTCATTTCAACCCTGAGCTACAAATATTCTTTATAGATTTACAGTGATTAAATCTCCATGAAAAAAATTACATTTGAATTCAAAAATCTGAGCCAATTTAACATGATGAGGTCTTTAGTGCAAAAGGATATACTGAAGCTATGAAAGTAATAAATCTGATATTGCCATGAAAAACTACTAAGGGAATCTGTCAGCTACAAAGTGAAGGAAGACAATCTGGACAAAACTGGGAAGTTTGACAATACATTTTGTGAGAGATTTTAAATGGTACTCACCATTGGCAGCAAGGGCAAAATAGAATTCACAACAGCAAAACAGTTCACTTTCCTAACCATTGTCCTAATGTGCCCCTGATTAATAGTTAATTGTATCTTCTTATACTAATATTTACACATGAATTAAAAACTTTACATCATTTGTATGAGAAGAACAGAAGTCTAATTTTAACCAGTTGCAATTTTAAAGAGGCGCTTGTATGAAAGAAGTTTAAAAATGGCTGCCTAGATACTTCCTAGCATTTATTTTACTTGATTTTTTTAAAAAAATGTCATACCTATCAAAATGATTCCATGTGGTACTTACAAGGCGATGTTTAAAAATTTATTGTACCTCCTAAAATGATTCCGTATGGCATCTTATTAACTAGATTGCTTTTTACATTACTTTCTATAAATAGCCCTGGGAAAAAAATCCGTAAGAAGGGTTCTGAGAGCGAAAGCTTTCTAAGATCGGTCTGTAGAGGGTCTGTTATAGGCAAATTGGCCTAGCTGCAGGTGCTGATGCAAATCCATTTGCTCTCCATACAGCAAAGTCCTATTTCTCCAGTATGTATGTGTGTGTGTCTCTCTCTCTATGCTCTGCTGAATGGAAGCCAAAAAACCAGAGTTATCTGTCTCTCCTGGTTCTTTAATCACGCTTTAAGGCATGTTTGGGCAGAGCGCCTTTGTATATAGTCAGGGTTGGCTAGCACAACTGTCACCATGGAAACAAATGCAGCAAAACCCAATTTGAATGAGAAGTAGGAGCTGAACGGAGCAGTTCAGCTTCAGTTTCTGCTTTGGAATTCATAGGAGCCTTTAAAAAGCCTTGCCAAAGATGACAGATTACTTGTTTGGAAATGGAAAGGAAGATTTTAGCTATATAGTTTCTGCTCTGTGTTTTTCAGAACTGTCTAAAGATCATAATGGTATTAGTGACACACGTGCAGTCCTTCACAAATTGAATAAATGTTATATATTGTGTGGAGCACTATAGTTTGTTTATCACTGCCTTTCATTCAGTAACTCAGCAGGGCACAACAACCCTGTTAAGTGGGTTGGGCTGAGAATGACTGTCTGAATGTCACCCAATCTGCTTGCACGATTAAGGGTAGGCTTGAATCTGGGTCTTCTGGTGCAGGTCTAACAGCTTAAGATCACACATTATTCCTTATCCGAAGCTCTGTAAATTTAAGGGGATGGGAAGAGAGAAAGATTTCCATACTTAACTTTTCTTCCCAATTAGACTCCCTTTTCTGACATGGATGTTTAACAGAAATCAGCTGGATGTGATGTACTTTGGCAGAAGACATCTGCCATTGTCCTCAGGTGTGTTTCTTAGTCTACCAAACTCTGCATCCCCTAACTGGATGGTTGCAAGATGGGAACTTCCAGCTAGCTATAGTCGGCTTCAGAAGGGACTACTAGGACGTGATGGAATGTAATAGTAGAGAAAACATGAATTGGCTTTATACTTGCACTGACTCTGAGAAGAAGCAAGGAATAACATTTTCTTAATGATTCCATGCCCTTCGAAAAGGAAGACTCCTTAAAGGTCGCTAAATAACAAACATTATTCTGTTGGGGAAAAGCTGTCCATGTATGGCAATTAAGCCAGTACTTGACTTGGAAATGCTGCACTCACTGCTTTATGGCGCCATTTAAAAAAACAACAGAAAGGATGATCAAAACAACCAATGCTAATTAGGAGATGCATCAGACTGCACTTTTCCAAACTATATGTTGCCAAGGTGCAATTGTGCTTTTAAGAAGAAGTGTAGTGTAATACAAATCACAATGCTGATTTTGATAAATTAATTTATATTGGCATTTTAGAGAAAAAGCAATGCAGTCCCATTTTCCTTATTGATGTCATAATCTAATGAAATCTATATGATTTCTGACTGGTTGAGATGATTTCAGTAATTAAGAGGAAAAGAAGGGCTATTTTTTAAAAGAATAGCAAAACAAAATCATGGCTAAAATGGCTAAAATGTAAAAGCAAAGGATTTTTGCATTCCTGCAAAGCATTTTTTCCCTTTAAAATTTGGCAGAGCTCTAATTTATATTGTGAATTATTTAAATGTTTTTTTATCACTAGGAAGATAGAATATTAATTTTGTACAAGGTTTTTATAAAGGGTTAGGGGGAAAGTATTAATAAACATCAACTTGTTACATAATTAATTTTCTATTCAGTTTGAGATAACCAGTTATTTTTGTTAGGAATGAATAATTCCAAACCAAGGCCTCTTGTTTAAATCATAAATTATCTTTGGAATCAAAGAAATTTCCTTTTCACGCATAACCTGGAGTAATATTTTTGAACAATAAAGTTAAATCTCATCTACTGTAGACAAGCACTAATTTTTAAAACAACTAAACATTGCCATTAGTCTACAGAATATTTTATGGATTAATGTCTACAGAATATTTTATGGATTAATCTGTAAATTTCTATTTACCATGTCCTCAGTTCTAGGTCAAACTGGAAGCACATAGCAAAATTCATATCCTCCCCCCAAATATTTAGTATTATTAAAGCCATCCCTTTATTTGTACATTGTGCTAATGTGCACATTATGAGATATCTTTCCTGTTTAACAAATTTTTGGTATTGACATTTTTCTGCACAGTTTTTTACACCAATTTTCCAGCAGGTGGACTAATTTGACTCTAGAAACAATGTACAAAGTTGGTAATGCAAATGATCATCTAATAGTTTGGAGTTCAGGATCACAAAGAGAATAATACTATTTCCCTTAGTAAGTTGGTTGCTTATTACAGACAAAGCAGAGACATTGTCCATAGAAGCATGGTATTCAAAATTCATGAAACAGCTTACTGTATGGTCACACACAAATTGAGAAAAAATGAAAGTTTTCTTGATCTTCTCTCTCCTTATTCAGAAAAGTATCGGACTCTTGGGCTGATCAATCTATGACAAATTATTTAACTCCCAAATTCCAAAGTTGGGCTTGTTTTCAAAGTCCTTTGGCATGGTAAAGATTGGATGTATGGTAGCGCATTTATGCATTTGTGAAATTTTTATCTCACGGCAATCAAAAGACTCTTGGCAGTTTTCAGATGCCTGACATTTGAGTTACAAGAATATTCAATTATATACGTACTTTCTTAGACTATGTGAGGGACAACAAAATACTTGTATTCCTTTTCTTTCCTATCACTGTATTCAGAATTGTAACAATCTAAGCCTGTCCATATCTGAATGTTCTGGTAACTCAAAGTAACATTTCATTCATCTGGTGATGGTGGACTACAATCCTTGGAAACTTACACCAGTTTGTCTAATTTAGTGTCTTCTAAATATATAGCCCAAACTGCCAGCATAAATAGATGTTGGGATGCCTGGAGCTTATGGAAGTTGTAGTCCAAATCAACTGCAAGCCATTAACCAGGTTGATACAACATTCAGTATCTACTTTTACTGTTACTATTTTTGTGATTTATATTCTAAACTTCTTTGAGGTAAATCCTGGAAAAGAATATATTGTGAGCAGAGCAAAGCCTGGTTTTGCTCATTAGACTCCCATTAGCCTCCCAAATAAATTCAAGGTTATTTTAAATTGGATATTGCACTCTTAAAAGATATATATGTATTTACATTGTAAAAAAAGGGAAAAAATGAAAAAGCTAATAGGTCTGCAGTGCAACTCTAGACCTATTTCTACAGAAGTGAATCCCATTAAGTTCAATTCTCATGTTACTGAATATAGAACTACTAAAATATTCTTTATAAATAATTTATATCTTATGTGAGATAGAAATATTTTATGGGAATTATAATTTTATATAATTTTCTTTTTAAAAACATAAACAATTGTGAGGCAGTAATTTTGATGGAGACTAAGATTTGTAAAGAACTTGTGTGTGTTTCTGTGTCCTGAAATAAAGACATCTAGAAACAATTAAAAAGAATATTTTAAAAATAAGCTGGTACCAATGCATAGCCAGAGACTTACAAAGAAAAATAATACATAGTCAGTTGGAAGTTATATTTATATAGTTATTTTTCCCCAGGGTAATAATTACTAACATATAATATTATACATTTGGCACTATATTTGCCATTGGTCCAGCAATTGGCAAAAAATGTTAGGCATATTTTATTATTTATAAAAAAATATTTAGACAGTGAGCTCACGTTGAATAACTAGGTCTACTGTATTCTGGAAACTCTTCAGCAGTAATACAGCTTTTTCATGTTCCATATGTACAAAACTGTGTCCATTTGCCTGCAACAGACAAAATAGAAAAAAGTAAGTGTTTTAGAATTTAGTAACATGCGGCATATAGTTTAAAGATCAACCACTATCCCATGATATGGTATAATTTAGAAAAGCAATGCCGTAGTAGTGTTTCTCACTTTAAGATGTGAGGACTTTAATTCCCAGAATTCCCCAGCCAGCATCATTATAATGACATGCTGTGAAATTTGTAGAGATGTTTGAACCTCAAACATCTGTACAAATTTCACAGCATGGGCTTAAGCAATCATCAACTTTATTTGGATGTCTTTCCCATATTATGCCAATAGAGTAGTATTTGGTTTGTCTAAGTAATTTGCTCAGTTTAGAGAAGTCATTCCCAGCATTGTACCCTCCATGTCCTTCTAGAATTCCCATCATCATGCTCAGTAGCTCATACTGAATTCTCTATAAAAATGTCAGATGAGGATGAGCAGCGAGGTAGCTATGCATGCATTGGTCTTGTTAAAAAAAAAAGTAATTTGCTGCTCAGAATGCTTTGCGTGCAAGAGATTTACCCTCCCTTATTAATTAAGCAAAGACCCCGAGAGGAGCTTGAGACTGCTGAAACAATTTAAAAGTCCTAAATAGATTGGTCATGGACATAAATTGAATTGGAATATTTTCAGGATGTCCTGAGCAGCTTCCAATGCTTTGAAAAAAATAAAATAATTATTTTATTTTATAAATAAAATATAATAAATGAACAACAGGCCCAACTGCACAATCTGGTACTTGCTTCATTGTACAAGCAATCAAGTACTAGTCTCAGGCGTTTCTGTCTAACAAACAAGCTCTTAAGCAAACTTTCTTTCTGACTTTATACATACATATATACATACATATAGTATGTGTGTGTGTGTGTGTGTGTGTGTGTGTGTGTATGTATGTATGTATATATGTATGTGTATAATATATATCAAATATAATATACCCTAACCCTATAACTATCTATCTAATCGGTATTATCAATTATCTCAAGTTCTAAAGAATAAAGCTGCCTTAAGCACAACCCTAATTTTAATATAATATACAATCTGGAAGGTATTAGAACATGACAAAGGTCACTATCTTCATCATGTTTTCCCCACAGTTGTTTCCAAATTCCACCAAGAAAACAGGGAGAATCAGCAGAACAACAAAAGTTGATACTGTCTTCCATAAAACTACATTCAGTTAAATAATCCTAGGAATTTCCCACACTGAACTCCAACAGCTGCGCCACAAAACAATTTCTACCTATTATTCGAGGTTGGAAAGATTTTAAATTTAGCACAACTTCTAAATCAATGATGTCTTTATGGCTACTTAGGAACAGATTAAGCCAGGTCACAGAGTTAAATTTGTGAACCAATTGCTTACAACAGCTGTGTCATAATCCAAATAGCTTTTATATCAGACCAACATTTCATATACAACAAGCAGAATCCTATCAAATACTCAGTGTTAATGGAAAGAAGAAATCTGCACTAAGAAGTTTCCCCACCCCAACTATATAACTTGAATTAATGAATCTCTCTAATAGAGATTTGGGATAATAAGGATATGCTTAATATTTCTATTGTGATGTCCTATGGCTGTATCATCTATTAAAACCATTTGTGGAATATGGAATTTATTTCTGAAAGCATCACTAACCTTAATTTACTCCAGACTACTCTTAACACTTGGATTTTATTAGATTAGCATCTACATGCAAAGGTTAGCATTTTTATTTGAGCGTTCTAACATATGTGTAATTGAAGCAGTCCGATCATATTAATTGCATAATTGCTCATTTGAATAAAGAATAAAGAGTTTTATGCCTTATGCTTGGGTCAATCTCAACTATTTCTAATAATCATTTCAATCCCATGTTTTGGGATTCAAGTTTTATTTTTTAATTTATTATTGTGCATGTTGTAGTTCAGGAATTTTACTTATATATACAGTTTCTGCTCCTAAGCTTTGGTTTAGTAATAGTTTGGAAAATAATAGCACAAGCTAGGTGTAATTGCTGCAGTACAGTGGCTATTATGGAGTTTTTAGTTTGTATGTTCCCAATTCTCTTCAACTTGTCCCACACATCCCATTTATATACTCTCTTGTGGTTTGAACAAACCACTTTTTGTTTCCAAAATTGTGCATTCAAATACTGACGGAAGCAAACTATACTGTAGTTGGTCAGTTTGATGGCATGACAATTTATAGTTTGTACAAATGTATGAGGAAAAGAAATAAATGCAAAGGGAGGAGGAAATAAGTAAATGCAAAATCCATTTAAGGAAAAAGTGTTTTTCATTGGAATAATTATTTTCTTTAGTTCAGGTTTGAGCACCATGCCCAGATAGAAAAAAATGTGAGAAAATTGTAATAATATCTCAGGTATCTTGAGTGTGTTAAGATAATCTACATAATGTCTGGTTGTTGGGGTAGACATTATATTGGTTTGCAAAGCAGATGTTAGAGCTCCTAACATGAGCATGCTTGAAATAAAATTACATGTGGCAAGAAGACTATAGCTGATATAGCTGTTAGTATGATTTTATCATTGGCAAAGGTATAATTTAAGTCTGATAACCTAAAACTTTCTCTTATTTGGAGTGTTATGTGAAAATTGTGGCTGCTCAAAGCCATAGTATGAAATGAATAGGTTTGAATAATGGGATGATTTGCATATGTATGGAGTTGAAAACTGATTGCTGAATGTGATAAGAACAGTATATGATGAAACAATGTGTGACTTAATGCAATGATTAATAAGTGGTTCAACATAGAATATGACAAGAATAAAACAATGTCCAATAGATTGTTTGATTTATTTTTGAGTAAATTTATAAAGTGTTTTTTGTTTGTTTGGGACATGGATGTATACTTTGACTACAAGATAATACTTGCTTCAAAGAACCTAACCTTTACAGCATTTGCAATAGCAATAGCACTTAGACTTATATACCATTTTACAGTGCTTTACAGCTCTCTCTAAGCGGTTTACAGAGTCAGAATATTGCCCCAAACAATTTGGGTCTTCATTTTACCCACCTCGGAAGAATGGAAGGCCGAGTCAACCTTGAACCTGGTGAGATCCAAACTGCAGCCAGCCATCAGTCAACAAAAGTAGCCTGCAGTACTGCACTCTAACCACTACACCACTAACACTTATTTGTTAGACTGTTTTGCAATGAGTATGGATAAGAAATCAAGGTAGTCATGTTTGACACTGGCATTGGAGGAAATGATTGCAAGTAACATGTGCATTGTGAAAAATTAAAGCAAATAGCTAAATTTGTGTATCCTGGAAGAATGTTTACTAAAGTTGGGAAGATGCTAGACTTGTAAATGATGGTAAATGATATGCTTGTTTAGTGAAATGAATGTTTGTCAAAGGAAATAAATGTTGTGGGGAAGTGGGTATTGGATATATAATGGGAATGCGTTATTTCAGAACTTTATTTGGAAAATAAGAAAAAATAGAATTAAGTAAAACTAAGTGCTGAATCAATGTGGATTGAATACAGGAAAGAATTACCAACACAAAAATATGTAGAGAGAGTTGGGTATATAGAAAGACTGAAATAGGATGTAATATTAAATTGCAAAAGAAATACATGAAGGAATAGTGGTGTATTGAAAAGAGGAAACGCAAGACTGTTAGGGTTGAATGGTGTTGATGAGGTTCTCAAAGAAAGAGAAGACTTTTTTAAAGTAGAAAAATCAGACTACTCATAAAGTTTAAATAGAATAAATGAATAGTGTATAGTGAATGGTATTGACCAAAATTAGATTAAGCTGCTTACTGTTCTTTTTCTGCACTTTGCCTAATTCTCCTTAGTCCAACTCCTTCCCTCCCTCCCTCCCTCCTTCCCTCCCTTCTCTCCCTCCCTCCCTCCCTTTTGTGTTTTCAACATGGGCAATTTGAAAATGGGCAATATGACCAAATATTATCTATACAATAGGCAAAAATTAAAAAGAAATATAACAATGTGGTCTTGGGTTCTTTTATTCAAATTCTCAATCCTTCTTTGATGAGTTGATTTGAGTTTGATGCAATATACAAGCTCTTACTACTCTCACATAAAACCTATAACTATTCACAGAAACATCCATCCTATTTCACTAATGACCCTTTAAATAGATAATGACTGTGTTTGCTTCAGAAACTTTTATGCTCTTTACCATTTTTATTTATTTATATCAAATCTATATGGCCAGCCATCTCATAAAGGCAACAATGTAATAACAAGTAACAAAATATAATTATTAGATTACTATTTTTAATTGCACAGATTGATAGAGAAGTTTATCTTAGCAACCAATAATAGCTAATAAAACTTATTGAAAAAACTAAGAGGACCAAATTTTATTAACATTTATGTTAGGTGGGAAGCTATCAAATTCCAGACTAATTGAGGAAATAAAATAGATGGCAAAAAACTTCCAGTACTTCCATACTGTGAGGAAAATAAATATGGACATGACCATTATTGGGAATCTACTTTATAAGGTGTATATTTAAATTTATAAATTTATATTCTATAGATTTATAGAAATTATAATACATTAAAATTCTTACAGATACACTGAGATGTGTTTTCATTCTATTTGCAGGTAGCTGATACCTTGCATCACCCAGACATTTTAGCTTTAAGTTTCATTGTTTATAAAAATTTGCTACTGATGGGGAACTCAGCTCAGAATAAAATAGCTATAGCTTAGAGAGTTTGGCTCATTATTTAAAAATGTTTCTTAATGTCTGGTTTATATCTTGAAATTAATATTGTTAGAATTGATATGCTAACCCTGCATTAAAATATACTGTTAGGAATTAATAAAAATTATATTCTATGACGTGAACAATTTGTTCTCTTTTTTGATATGTTTCAAATAAACATATCTACCTTTTAAATGTGAATATTGGTCTGAACTACTAATTTCCAGTTACTTGGGTGAATTTGAAGAAATAATTTCTCACATAGTTAGAGTGTTTTTCCTAGTATAGTTGAACAGTA